TAAAAATTATTTATATCACCATTTTAAGTGTTGTAGGCAGAGCCAGCAAGTATAATGGTTTTCGAATGAGAAGACGATTGCTACTTGAGACCAAAAATCACGAAGTAGTCCTGAGTTAGTCAGTGTTTAGTTAGTTTAGCTGTAAATCGTTGAGGGATTCCCTCGACTGTCAATGGTTTCCATCTATAGGTGCGAAGTTTGCATCGTTATAAATGAATCAAGTCCAAACACGAGGTAGTTACTGTGAACCGTTCCCTGAGCTGCCCTTCGTTCTCATCATTAGACCCCTAATGACAGTCGCGATCAATCTTGGTGCAAAGTGCTCACCAATACAAATCATTCAAGCCCAAACACAAGGTAACTAGTGCAAATAATAAAGCAGATCCCTCGACTGTCTTCCGGCTCCATCATCAGGTCGACTTCGACCATCGGCAAATTGTAGCTTTGTAAAAAGCCTACTAAAAAAACATGCAAAAGCACTAGTCGTCCCTACAATTTTCGAAAGTTCCCCTCGGTTTCCCTAGGATTCCATCATTAGATCCTGACCTCATGAAAATGGGACCCTCTCGGGAGTATAACCTTTCAAACAAAACAAGAATTTTGGAAATCGGTTCATAAATGGCGGAGTAATCGGTGAACATACAAAAAAAAAACAATCAGCCGAACATAGTACCTCCTCCTTTTTTTGAAGTCGGTTATAAAAAGAGTTTTTAATTAATTAAATCTTTTATTATTGAGTTGAAAGGATAACTCGGGTTTGTGCAAGTGGGCGTCAGACAAGTTGACCTACTGCCTGCTTATCTGTGATGTGACACTCCCCGCGACTTTAGCGCACGGGTCGCTTTACGGTAAACGCGGGCAACTCTTGGTAGCGTTAAATACCTATTTCGCTTGGCCTACCTGCCCTTAAGACAAAGGTACACTAATAGCATTCAACAGGGATGTCTCCGCTAATTGAGTTGCAGGGATCAAAGGCAACATCAATACTGGGAAGGTTGGCAAGCATAGCACGTATGGCAACTATATTCTGCCATTTGGCTTGTCGTGGTTGATCCGAACATGGGCAGTTAACAGGCTTTGCCAGGTACCATGTAGATATTCAGTAACTGTCATGTTCATAGAGGAAACTTATTCGATTGGTCATGTTCCTAAAACTTATATAGATGTAGGCTCGATTAGTTTATAATTATATATTTACTTATCTCTCTGTATCTACATATAGTCAGGGCGTCTAAATATGGAAAATGTATAATATGTAGTATAGTAAAGCTATAGCAGCCTAAGAGATATTGTTATTGAGCACTTTCGTCACTGCTAATTTATATTGATAGCACTCTCAACTACAAGTCCTAAGCAAATAACTTAATTCTAGTCTCCTCTATCTAACCCAAGATGTTTTTAAGTAAATAGAAGGTCAGAAAACAAAACACAAAATAAAAAACTTTTAGACAAGTTGACAGACAGAAATATTTAATGTTTTAAGTAAAATAATTTTTATTCATTAAATTTTCCAGTTTAAGATTAGTTGATTATTTAAAATGAAGTTGCCAGACTAGGTTGATCGATCTTTTTAGATAAACATGTAGATGTATGAAATCTAAGCCCGCAAACAATTCCCTTAGGGTAAAAATAAATGTAACATACGTTTTTGAAATAAACACGGCCTTCAAACCCTTTTCAGTTACTTTTTACAATAGCATAAATAATATGAAAACAGTAACTCTATTCCTTTAGCCACATCAAATTAATGTCCATCATAATTTGAAAATTAATTTAACAAACTCTGTACTGAAATACTAAGCAGAAACACTCGAATTAGGTCATCGCCTGTACCTTTTGAAGCTGGTAACAAGATATCAAATTAAATTCTAAATATAAATTATCGTTATATTTTTTTTACAACCTGGCTTTCTCATTTTTATTTTAAGGCTATAGAATCGGTAACTTAATTACCGTATTTAGGACACTAAATGGCTTTTATTCTAAACAGATTATTGATTAGTCGAGTCACTCTATACACGCGTTCCTTCCTTTCTGTCAAATGGAGGCCATATAAAATTAACATTACCAACGATGGTATACAATTATACATGAAATTAATATTGATACGCCATACGGTAAAAGCCCAGCAACGCTCGTCAAATATGAAAAAGACTCGGTAATATAATTTCGGACAACTCTGTTACTTAATTTTAATGAATGTTTCAGAATTAAAAGCAGTAATAAAATATTCGATAATTACTTATTAATGTACAGTCATCGATCGTGTTTGTCAGTGTTTGCATTGCAGTGCACGATGGACGAGACAATGGCATTGTAACGCTAGGCGGAGAAGCGTAGCCAGCCTGACGCCAAAACGTCGATACCGGCTAATTGACTAATGTACGGAGTTACCGACACTTCCTATAATAACGTTACGAGGCCGAAACCTTTCAGCAACAATTTGTAACATTCGACAATTTTCGAACCTCTATCAGGTACCTATGCTTTACTCTCATATAATACTGTCAATAAATGTTCCTACAAACACATGGTAATTGAAACGGTAGCATAATAAGTGCATTACATGTCTTTTTTACAGATAGCGTTCCCGTTAACTGGAATTTACTGTATTCAACCCTTTTCTAGCACAAGGCCTCTTGTTTAACCCTGTGCTGTTTCTTGTTTTTCCTCTAGTATCTGTTAGTGAGTTTATCGCTTCAGCAAAAATAACAATCGTAGCATTGGAAGGCATGACAGGCCATTTCATTTCTACTAGGGGTCGTAGCATTTTAGCACTTGAGCGCTATTGTTATATTTAAATCAAAGAAAACACTCAACAGTTAAATAAATGGGGAATAGTATTTAAGAATTATTAATTAAGAACATAAGTAAAATACCTTCAGAAAGACAAAACAAAACAGAAGTGTAGTGAAGCGTAATCATTGAGACTGCGGCGTAAGCGACCTGAATGTGCATATCGACCAAGTTTTTTTTTATATGGAGGACTGTTCACGCTATTTCGACCTCAAACTGGATGCATATTAAGGGCATGTAAATAAGCAATACAAATTATTTCCTAAATAACTTTTGAACTTTACAAAAATTAATATTATTACAGGATTAAGGGCAAAACATAACAGGAACTTGTGATTGTTACAGCTGTTATTATGGTAAACTGTAGCAGCAATAAGTCGGGGTATTGTCGGTGAGTAAACATTTGTTTTTGTAATAATTATGGCTTTCTAAAACGTTCACTTCTACCTACGCAATGACTGACAGTAACCAGAGTTCACAGTTGCGAGGCAGCGCAATAACATCGTAGAAATTGCCAATAGAGCAGTATAATTGTAGACAACTGTGTTGCAAATTTTTCGTAGGAGTGCTGACTTAGAAATGAAAAATTCTGTACCTAATAGTAGTCAGTTCTGTAATGCATACGGAATCAAACAAACAGCAAGCATGTTTATGGTACAACGCAGTTGAAAAGGTATAAAGGCAACGTAATGAACAAGGATGATAGCGTGACGTTGAGTTACAGGACGGGTCGGAAACCAGCCGCAGTGAAAGTTACCGCTAAATGCGAACCTGTTTGTCTTTGTTACCGGTAACTCGCAAACTGAGTTACATCCCCACTAGACCACGCTAGTTGCTTACAAAGGAACTACCGGCACTGCTGGATTCCGACTATTCGTATATCGGAAACCTGATTGCGAGTTTTATTCCGAGAAAGGCGCCAAAGTGCAACGTCAAATCGAGAATAGGAGCAGAACGGACGTTTTTAAAAAATAGAATTGAAATATTTTACAAAATTTAGGAACGAGTAACAGGACGAAAGATGTCCACGTTAATAAAATTTTAACTAGTAACCAACCGTAATATGATCAATGTAATTATGAATAATGTCCAAATCCGTAAACGATCGATGTTGATACAACAGTTACGAAATAGAGTCACGTGCATTTCCGTGGCAAGGTTTATAGACCGAGAAACATACACGTTTAGTAATACTGAGTTATAACTGATAATAGCACTAATCTGAAACATTACAACACTAGCGCGACGTTCAACGGCTTGCTATAGGCCGGCTCCCTTAAATTATCGAAAGGGAATCTGTTAATTATCTCTAATCGATTTAATATCTTATTAACGGCTTACGTATTTCAATGAAAGTAGTACAATTCACACCCGAAAAATGTGATCAATGATAATGTGGTATTGGCAGATAACATGGGTTCTGCGCACTCACGAAACTGGCGCAAGAGTTTGGTGCTAAAAACCAGTTTGGATCATACCTCTGCAAATTCTCTTAAGAAACATCTTGTAGTTTAATCATTAGTTTTTGTGGGCTCGTTTAATTGCATGCCCACATCCAAAAAACTAATTTTTAACTCATTTATTGAAAAGAAAGGAAATGTGGGCCATATTTTTAGTACCGTCCCTCTAGGAGGCCATCGTAATTTTATTGCAGAATATATGAGGTATGTTAATTCACATCGTATAAAGGTTAGTAGTGATGCGCGTGCGACACAAGATATACATCGACTAGGGCGCAAGGATCCTCCGGCCACGTTATTATGTCAAGTAAGTAGTTTTGAAACCAGTCGGACTAGTATCCTTCCTGCAGTTAGCCAAACTAGTTTCCAAGCTGTTTGCGAAAATATCCTTATAGAGGCAGTTACTGCATAGGTTTAGCAATTTATTTTGGCTTAAGACACACTTGAGTAACGCGCCGATATAATCGACTAATTACAACTACGAAGCTAGTAAATAAAATTCTAGTGTCAAAACGTAACGAATATTACTGTTTTAATTTACAACACGACTTTTATAGACAAGAATATTCTTCAAGAAACTATTTTATACCGAGATGGAAACACTGAAAACAACACCACAATAATTTCCATACACGTGTCAAATTCCGAAGCAGAATAAAAAAAAAAACTCAAAAATTACACACATTAAATATGAAAAATAAAACACACCACTTGTAAAAAAAGAACAGTATAAAAACTACTCACTTCCTACTGTCAGGCATTCCCATTTTGACACAGTTTTTATAAGCACTACTCGTGGTAAGGACATGCAAGTACGGCACGCAGCGGTCAACTAAGTCAGGATTACGAATGATAAACCTTATATGCACGTATTATCAAGCAATACTATTAATAAGGTTGATAAGTTATCTGATATAGAAATAATGTGAGACGGATGTGTTACGACAGTATTTGTCGAAGTAAAGACGAGCTGTGTCTAGCCGTGGACACTTGACCAAAGATCAACAGTTGCTGGCCGGCTGTTTATGTAATCAAACTGATTAGCACGTCGACAAGATAGTATGTACCTACTGTAATATGCTATTTTTGGATTATGAAAGAACTTATAATCCTAGTTGAACTTTGGCATTACAAGTAGTCTCCAAAAACATTAGAATTTTGAGCACGAAACACTGGTTTTTAAATTTAATACGCTGGCAAAGGAGCAGCCGCTGATGATAAGCAATCGGCACTGCCTATAGACATCCGCAACACAAGAGGAATCGCAAGAACGTTGCCGGTAAGGATGAGGGAGAGTAAGGATTGGGCCTTCAGTAACCTGACTCATACGGCGAAATGTTGGGGTTCTTTCAGGTCGGTATTATTCCGCTCGAGCCGGTCGGCCTAAGCCTGGCTCCTACATTGTAAACTATATTTTCAATTTCTAAAGCTTTACAACATCGGTCATCTCATCTTTACTAGTAAACACACCAGTAAAACACCTTATCATAACGGACAGGTAGTCTCAAATCCCTGAAACGATTCTCAACTAACAAGTACAAAAGTCAAGACTGACTCATAGGTTTCAGATAAAACAAAATCACTGAAACTGATTTGCATGTTTTTCATTACAATAACAATGAATCATTATAATGTTACACGTGATTGTAAGTTAATTACTTCCTAAGTATATGTATATATTAAATCCTAATATTTTTGTCGGTGATTTCATTTCGATGATGGTGTAAATAAAGGCCCACTATTTGTGACCGAATATGCCTTTAGTTGTTCGACGCTTGATCGCCGAGTTTCCAATACACTCCACCTGTATTATGATTAACTTTATGTTATTGATGCAGTATGTACGACTACAATAATAAAGTGTATATTTTTGAACGCATTTAAACATAATTATATTGATACATATCATTATAACCAGTATTTTTACATCAGATATTTTATTAAGCTCTGGTGAATACTGTATCTCTACTAGTGGTTTGTAATAGTATGTACTTTCGATCTCTTTCATCATTCAAATCTACCAAAAGCAAAGCCACTATAGCTAAAGTTAGTCGATAATATTAGAACTAAATTATTTCCGTCCCTGTCAAGTTAGCAAATAACAAGTTTGATCAAATGTTTGCGTGAAGTATTGTTGGTTTGGTAAGTAGGATCCGGGCTGTCCGTAACACTTGGGGTCAGAAGGGACCGAGTGGGTAGTGGAACGCGACCATGGCTGTCAATCTAGATCTATAAACAGATTTCACATGCTACAGTCCATTATTGTGAGTTCCTAGAACAAGTCCAGTGCGTGATGAGGTAGATGCACCAGGAAGTGCAGACACGTGCATTCAAAGGTCACGTGAATAGAGGCGGTTGATGGAATCAAACTACCAGACTAGACACAGCTTAACAGTTTATTTTGAAATGAACTAGGTATACAACAGAATTTTTATTTGCAAAAATAAATTCATTCATCTATTTTCCTGATGTCCTCGGGAAATGAGCTGGAGTAACAATGACTAGACTTCAAGTTAAAATTATATTGGCAGACGAGGCGGAACCATAGGACAAAGTATCAAAGGAAATGTTTACAAAGAGATATTAGCAATTTCCTCCGGTATAAGGGACCATCCGGCCGATATGATGAACAAAGAGAAAGCAATAACCCGCCATGGAAATACTTAACAAAATATGTTTTGCGTGATTTTTAAGTGAAGCATGTAATTATTCTCAATAAGGCACATTGTATTTTTTCTTTGATTAATTTGAAAGTCATTAGGTCCATCTTTTAGTTTTCTTTGTGTATGTGGCATATCCTAAGGAGATGAGCGTACCTACGCTACGCTAACAATCAAGACTACACAAGTTGCGTGATAATATTTCAGCGACCGATTTCTACTGCGCAAACATATCTTGTCATAAGTATCTGCACTATCAGGGATTATCTCTGGTCAATGACCCGGTCACCGGCACAATTATCAGTACACATACCCATTGTGCTTTAGACAATAGACGCATTTGTTATCAAACAACAGAACGACCCGTGGAAAGTGGACTTCGTATCAACCGAGGTCATTATATCAAAAGAAAGCATTTCAATGTCAAATGAGACGTAACAGTTGTTTGAAAAACAGACTGAAATACATGTGGGTGCATAAAAACCTTCACAACGAAAATAAAAGTGGGATCCAGTGAAACGTCTAGCTGTGTTCTGGCAACCAGCCAGCACTGTTAATATCTAAGAAATTGTAAATCCCAGTGCAAGTTGCAAGATTACCATGGAGTTACAGGAGGAATAATTTAGGGTTCGTTATCTTATTTATTGATTCAGTGCTAGAATTAAAAAAAAGAAAAGAAAGAAGAAAACCCTTCTGGATTTACTGGAATAAAGTATCTGCATTAGTTAGGTACTGAAGCAGTTACAATATTAAGCAGAACTTTTGTTGGTTGAATGCTAACATTTGCCTTCGAGTAAAGAAGATCAATTTATGGAAATAATACCAAGGTAAATGAAAAACATATTCAAAAAGCTAATAAAACAGCAGTATCCGGCATTTCCATGGCAAAATAAATATTACTTGTGACCGACAATTTATCCTGAAGTATAATGATTCCTGGGTAATCACGTCTATATAATATCCGAACGTTTGGCCATTGCGACCGAAACTGTATATTAGTGGGACCATTTCCACCAGGGACCGTTCACGCCCAGATATGATATCGTAAATTGTCAACATAATGTCGATGTCATTACCTGGATGGTAGCCATCGAAGTTGAACTCCAGTTTTCTTAGTATTCCGTGCATAAATCCATTCCTCTTAAATCAAAAGCTGTTGAAAATGGAATTAGTTCCCATGGATTTTTTTTCTCGTCGCCAGGAAAACTGCGGCGCGGATGTTGTCAATTGCTGCGGCAATTACGTTACGTTCGTCTAGCCTAGTTTTTTTTGTTCCACGGTTCTCAATTTTTATTTTGCATATTCAAATATTTTTATTTGGCGATGCTAAAACCAACCTTTCTCTTTTTATGTTTACTTTTATTTATCGGAAAGATATTAAAGAGACGATACGAGTTTAGAGAAAGGTCGAATAAAATGTTAACTGCAAAACTTGATAGCAGGCATTAATACAACTTTTGATGATGGTGTTAACTTCATGTAAATGCATGTCGGTGACAGACATAAAGATAATCTAACGACTACTGTTTCTGTACTCATTAAGCAATAAAATATAATTGATAAGGCGACCTTCACACAGCACGTTGAATCGTCTAATAACCGCGTGAAAAGTAATACAATCATGACTGAAGTTTATTAGCTATTAAGGTGATTATTTAAAGACCCGATGGTAAGACACTACAGTAACAAGTATGGCTGAAAATGTCTAATCAAATATAAGACTAAATAAAATGAACTTACGTCTCATTCTCGTCTATAAACATTTCTGTGTGTTTCAACCTGTAACAATAAAGAAAAATATTAGTAAAACCATCACAAACAGATAATAATTCAAACTGGGTAGCAGTGAATGCAGTGACAATTTTGCAGACAGATCGTTGGATTTCAAAAGTTTGTGAATGTTTGCAATCTGCAGCTCTTTTGGTGAATCCAACCGATAGTGACATGTATCGATACTCAGTAACTATATTGATCCAATTGTTGATATTATGCAGTTAAAGGTGTTTGCCGAGGTTCTGAAGATATTAATCAACTAAATGAACCAAGGGTTGAATAAAAAACAATTTTATTAACTTGAGGAAAGTGTTTTGGAAATAGACAAGTTAAATATTCAGGAGTCAAAAATTTACAAGATAGTTTTCAACCAGTAACAAAAAAAAACATCACTGTATCCAATAAAAATAAATATGTAATCAGAAAGACCGATGAGTCAGCGCTTATAGAGTAATTATCAAATTGTAATTGATGACTTTCCTTTCTATGTTAAGAGATATGATTCAATTACAAGAATTCATGTGAGAGATTAGAATTTTTGCTAGAACAATCAATATGATAAGAATAAACATGAAGTATTGTAAAAATTTGCGTGATTTTGATAGCATGATAATAATTAAATGTTTGTGCAATTCACGATCAGAAGGCGCACACTGTAGTTTGAAATCGGCTTTACGTACACCTTGTAAAATCATCTTTGACAAGACGAATAGGAACGTAGATTAATTAAATAATAATTGACAAATCAATTTATCAAAAGCCAATCAACCTAATTTTAAAATAGCACAACTAGCGCATTACAGAAGCACCGTAACTAGGTTTCTAAGCATAAAATTTGTCTACAATCTCAAAATATTAATACAATAATGAATCGAAATGCATCATAAACAAGGTGCATTTTAGTGTAAACAATGATCTTACGTCAACGACGAGCCCCCGCAAGTTAGTTGTGTGGTGATCAAACAATCAGTATGCAGGTCAAGCATAGTACTGCTGGTATCAGCGATTTATTCCCAGACGCACCGTCATACGAAAACAGTTCTTGATCAACAGTTTTACATAATGACCAATTAGACCAACTTTAATTGATGCGTCAGACAAATTATAACACCACAAATATACATAACATAACTTCGCACTTGAATTGAATGTTAGTAATTTTGTATGTTAGTTGGACATCATCAAAGTTACACAACAGATGAATCGATTTCTTCTAATCATAAGTATTTCGTAACAATCATGTTTAATGATTCAAATGTAAGCGTCATGTGTCAACAAGACAATGAAAGAAAACATGAACCTGACCGCGTTGTTGACCAATAAGATCGTGGGAAAGGTCCTCTCGATAGCTGGACGATGGAACAAAGTTCATGAATGATACAACTTGTAGCTACACAGCAGTTAGAAACAGAGAAA